ACATTTCCGCCAAATGGTGAACCGCTTATATTACAACTTTATTATTTCAGTAATTTAGTCTGCATCTTTTTTATAATGGAAATGAGACCCAGCAAATATAGCATGTTACCTGTGAAGTTTGCCTTTGATATGATGCACCATTTCATTTTGTTGCATATATTCTAGAACTCTGTTAATTTGTTTTTTTTCTTATCAGAAAAAAACCCTATTAGTGGTTCTCTTTACACTTGAAACCTGAGTTCAGTGCTGGAAAATAAATGGTTTGGGAGCTAGGAGAAAGAGAGTATGGAGAATGGGGCCCTTTTACATATTTTAGATAATTACGAGAGAAGTGAAAGAAAGAACTTCTGAAGAGTCTGAAATACATTGATTAGGAGTTCATTTCTGTCTATTTTATATTTATGATGGAAGGAAGAAACTTCAACATGCTGTTGGTTAGGAACTTAGGACTTTTGGATGCTTAAAGAATGCTTGAATCATTACCTCCTTTGTAATTGTGTCCATAGAAAGGAGAGATGGTTGGCATCTTTCCTGATGGGATGGGAGCAACCTTCGGACTTTACCTGTTTACTATTTTGTTTTTGTAATTATAACACCATCTTGGTTGAGTGTCAATGAGTACTTTGATTTATGAAAAAAAGGATGGGCCATATCATGGGAACAAATACTTTTAATCACTCTGATTGTTCTTTCTTTTCATATAGGTGGACCTCTGTTGTTGATGGAGCTGGCATTTTTGTTGAGAGGTGTTGGTGCTGAAGTCTGTTGGATCACAAATCAAAGGCCATCTGAAACGAACAACATCGTATACAGTTTGGAGCACAAAATGTTACACCGAGGAGTTCAGGTTGTACTTAGCAATATTTCTTCCAGTTTGAGTTTTTATACCTTTCCATATTTGCACAATCTCATCTTTCTACTAATAGAAGTATTTTCCGCGGGCATTCTGCTCCAGCAGCCTTAGGCAATTAATAGCTGGCATATTTGCACTGAGATCTTGGAATTTATACCTCTACATTCTGAAACTTATAGTTTAGTAGTAAGATTTGAATGGTTGTGCTTATGAGTGCGTGTGTGCTTTCAGGTTGTCTCTGCTAAGGGCCAGGAGGCAATAGATACTGCTTTGAAAGCTGACTTGGTTGTTTTAAACACTGCCGTTGCTGGGAAATGGTTTGATGCTGTTCTTAAGGAACATGTTCCTCAAGTCCTTCCCAAAGTTTTGTGGTGGATCCATGAAATGCGCGGTCATTACTTCAGTCTAGATTATGTGAAGCACCTTCCATATGTTGCTGGTGCAATGATTGATTCACATGTAACAGCTGAATACTGGAAGAATAGGACACAGGAACGGCTAAGGTACGTTTAGAAGTTCTGTGATGTTGCTACTAAGTTGGCAAGGGATCTACTTCTAGTGGTCTTTTGAGGTCATGCATCTTTAGATATAAACCATAGCTTGAACATCATTTGGTTGTGAGGCCAGATAGTTCTGTTAATACACACTAATATGAATTTACATGATAAATTGAGTAGATGAAATCTTTTTTTTTTCTTTTTGTTTTTGATCATTTCAGTTGAGTAAATGAAATCGTTTGTCTTAGAATGTCAGTTTACTCTCTCAAGCTGCCTTCATTTCCCTTTGGCATACATCTAGTTTTTCTTTTCTTTCCTGTTGACTTGTACAATCACCATAAGATATGATAGGGGGAGGAAAAAGGATGTTAATACATAAATTGAACGACATAAGACTTATGCAGGATATAAGTTAAAGTGTGTGTGCACATTCTTGCAGATAGATCTACTTCTCCTCCCTTTTTAAAAAATGAGACAAGATGGGGTATGCAAGATTTAGCTTCCTAGTTGCTGTAGCTATTCAAAGTTTAGTAGCTGTATTATCAAAGGAGACAAATAATCTCATTGAATTATGTCATATAACAAAATTAAAAATGGCCTTCATCTATCGACCCAACATTTTACCTGCAGCATTTTTGTTATGGAAATTGAATTCTCAGCACATAAAAAGTTGGTAAATGAACAGGCTGTAACCTATTCTCACTCTCTTTCTACTTCTTCCTCTCCCACCCTTCTCTCTGAGATAGGTTAGTTTGTACATCATACAAATCCAACTGATAAAGGTAAATCTTCTACTATGCATGTTTAGATCAGATTGCTTCTCATTTTAGTTAACCTTTCACCTTTGGGTTTCTTATCTGTCATTGATGTCTTTATCGATATCTTTCCTAATGAGATTATGTTGGAATCAGGAAGTGAAAAAGCATCACTCCAGGACAACTAATTTGGTTTGTAGTGTGTTACATAGATGAGTACTTGTATTATCATGGGAAGTAGAAAATGCTAACAGAAATTGTAGTGTAACATATACTGAAAGTACCCTGATCCTAATTATGGTGATTATTTGGTATGTTTCTCTGAAAATTTTAAATGCTGAGGTAATTTAAGCTCAAAGGGTGTCTCAATCTATTTTGAGGCATAAAATTTAGTTGAATTTATTTGACTTAATATTTGGCTGACTTTATTTCTCCTTGGGTAAGGGAATATGATGTAAATGTTGTTTCTAATACTTGGGTCTGAATGCTCAAACTTTGGTTGAACCAAGAAAGATAGCTCCTGGATGAACTTCCCAGTTATGTCCAGATCTACCATGTATTACATTGCTTATTCTTCATTATTCCTTCTATTGTCTGTAGGCATTGTAAAACCTTTCTTAACTGTTATTTATATTTTGTAGGATCAAAATGCCCAAAACCCATGTTGTTCATCTTGGCAACAGCAATGAGCTAATGGAAATTGCTGAAGATAGTGTGGCAAAAAGGATTTTGAGGGAGCATGTCCGTGAATCTCTTGGAGTTCGAAACGAAGATATAATGTTTTCCCTCATAAATAGTAAGCCTTTTCCTGTAATACTATTATGCATTACAGTCTATCATGCTTCAGATCTGATAAAAGTTGCTTTCTTGAATACCTGTTTGGGTGGATTGCTCTTGATTTATTTTCTAAATTTATCCGATCACTATGATTCACTCGTATTCACATCATGATGTGCAGATTTTTTTTTTTAACTACCGTGCAACTTGGATTTGAAATTTTGGTAGCATAACTCGCTAAAGGTCCTTTTTTTAACTACACTATGACCTGAACTTGCAATAAACGTTGCTTTCATGAATACCTGTTTGGGTGGATTGCTCTTGATTTATTTTCTAAATTTATCCAATCACTATGATTCACTCGTATTCATCATCATGCTGTTACAGAGTTTTTTTAAACTACTGTGCAACTTGGATTTGAAATTTTGGTAGCAAATCTCGCTAATGGTCCTTTTTTTAACTACACTATGACCTGGAGTTGCAATATTGCAGGTGTTACTCGTGGGAAGGGTCAAGACTTATTTTTACGGTCGTTTTATGAGAGCTTGCAGATTATTCAAGAACGGAAGTTACAATTGCCATCAATTCATGCTGTTGTTGTAGGGAGTGACATGACTAGTCATAGCAAATTCGAGACAGAGCTTAGGAACTTCGTTATATCAAAGAAGATCCAGAATTATGTTCATTTTGTCAATAAGACACTGACGGTAGCCCCATATCTTGCTGCAGTTGATGTTCTGGTTCAGAATTCTCAGGTTTGTAGGCATGGGGTGAATGCTAGGTCACTTTTTGTTCTTCTTTTCTCACTTAAGTATGATAATTTTACTAATGCGGTAATAACTAACTCCATATATTTCCACCCTTCTATGTTAATGATGTAGGCACGAGGTGAATGCTTTGGTAGGATTACTATTGAGGCGATGGCGTTTCAGCTGCCTGTGTTGGTAATTGCCATTTTTCTTCCTCCATCTTGTCTTGTTATATAGTTTATCTTTTACAGGCAGCAGTTCCTTTTTATAATCTTAAATATTTCATTGGATTGGAAAAGCTTACCATCTCATCTTCTTTCCTTTCCATTTCAGGGAACTGCAGCTGGTGGCACCCAAGAAATTGTAACAAATGGAACAACTGGTCTTCTACATCCTGTGGGGAAAGAAGGGATAATGCCTCTTGCAAAAAACATTGTTAGATTAGCCACTCACGTTGAGAGGAGGCTTACAATGGGTAAAAAAGGGTATGAGAAGGTGAAAGAGACTTTTCTGGAGCGTCACATGGAAGAAAGAATTGCAGGAGTTCTAAAGGACGTGTTGCAAAAAGCAATGGAACACCAAAGGACATGATAATTTATCACTGTTGGTGGTTAGCGTTCAGCCTCTGTTGTCAGTTGGAGCTGCATTTGTAGATGTGACGTGGAAATTTATAAGCTATGAATAGGTGGTCAACAACTGGAAATGAAGTACCATAGGGAAACAGTTCAATGTCCGCTTATATACTTTCCAAATGTAAAAAAGAAACGATTTTTTCATCCTTGATGTTGTCAATGTGGTGTATGAAGGACTTATGCTGCTAATCATTCACCATAATTTTGCAGTTTTTCTTTTTGGTTTTAGCCGGTTAGTAGCTAGACATGTAGTATGATTTTATGGACGTGTGGCTAAAGGCCTTTGCATCATTGTGTTTGACCTGTATTTCTTGCAAGTAGAAAGTGGGGGTTTCCTTTTTGGGTCGAGAAAGCCTAAAGTATCTCTTCCATCAGCAACTAGCACACACAAAAACGTACTTCAAAATTGATGTTTGAGTCATTTTGGACGCATCTCAAGTAATTACATCGGTCGACCATCTATGACCAAAAATGTTGCAAATTTGGTGAAAGGCTTGACCATTCAAAAATTATTTGAGCTGAAATGAGCTAAATTATGGACACAAGCCAACTTCATGTTAGTTGATCAATAAAAAAAATAAAAAATCGTATTAGTTGATCAATCTAACATCTCTATGTTCCTGCAACTCCCACAACTGTTAAAAATTTAGATTATTGGAACCATGATATATAAGAGAAGTTAGCTCTCCATAGTCCTTCTGGTTTCATTTTGTTTCAACTGAAGACCTTAGTAGCTTTGCATGTAATGGTTTCACTTGCTCGGAAGCTGATCGCATCAAGGAACCCTATTCCAATATCCAAAAGCTACGAGCTCGGAAACTCAGAAGCTTTGCAGCCCTTCGTTCCATTTTCCCGGCTTCAAGAGACAAAACTCTTGGAATCTCATCTAGTCTCACTTCTTGACAACTGTAGCAGCCTAAATCAGATCAAACAAGTACATGCTCACGTTATTCGCAGAGGTCTTGACCAATGTTGCTATGTTCTCGCAAAGCTACTCCGTATGCTCACAAAAATCAATGTCCCAATGGACCCATATCCCCGTCTTGTGTTTCATCAAGTGGAATACCGCAACCCTTTTCTATGGACCGCGTTAATTCGCGGTTATTCAATTCAAGGACCATTGAAAGAGGCAGTGTGTTTGTATAATGCTATGAGAGGGGAAAGTATATCGCCTGTTTCTTTTACTTTGACGGCTTTGCTCAAGGGTTCTAGCGATGGGCTTGAGTTGAATTTAGGTAAGCAGATCCATTGTCAGAACATAAAGCTTGGTGGGTTCTGTAAAGATTTGTTTGTTCATAATATTTTGATTGATATGTATGTAAAATGTGGCTGGTTGGATTGTGGTCGAAAGGTGTTCGATGAAATGTCTGAGAGGGATGTGATTTCGTGGACTTCGTTAATTGTTGCATATTCAAAGTCTGGAGATATGGCGGCAGCTGCTGAGCTGTTTGAGAGATTGCCTGTGAAAGATTTGGTTGCATGGACGGCTATGGTGTCAGGTTTTGCACAGAATGCTAAACCAAGGGAGGCATTGGCGTTCTTCCATAGAATGCAGTCTGAAGGTATTGAGACTGATGAGTTGACATTAGTTGGGGTTATTTCAGCTTGTGCACAGTTAGGGGCTGCTAAGTATGCAAATTGGGTTTGTGATATGGCTGAGGGATATGGTTTTGGACCTGCCAATCATGTTATGGTGGGTTCTGCATTGATTGATATGTACTCCAAGTGTGGGAATGTGGAGGAAGCATACAAGGTTTTTGTGAAGATGAAGGAAAAGAATGTGTTCTCATATAGTTCGATGATTATGGGTTTTGCAATGCATGGATGCGCGAATGCTGCACTAGATTTATTCGAAGAAATGGTGAAAACTGACGTAGAGCCTAATAAGGTGACATTCATTGGTGTTCTTATGGCTTGTACTCATGCAGGTTTGGTAGAACGGGGTCGACACCTGTTTGATATAATGGAGAAACATTATGGTGTTGAACCATCAGTAGAACACTATGCTTGCATGATTGATCTCCTTGGCAGGGCTGGGCAACTAGAAGAGGCTCTTGAGCTTATCAAAGCTATGCCTATGGAGCCTAATAGTGGTGTCTGGGGAGCCCTGCTAGGAGCTTGTCGGATTCATGGTAATCCTGATATTGCAGAAGTTGCTGCCAACCGTTTATTTGAGCTTGAACCTGATAGCATTGGTAACTATGTCTTGCTTGCCAATACATATGCTTCAGCTGGAAGGTGGGAAGATGTTTTAGGGGTAAGGAAATCAATAAAACAAAAACTGCTGAGAAAGGACCCTTCACGCAGCTGGATTGAAGGCACAGAGGGAGTGATTCATGAGTTCTATGCTGGTGATATGACCCACCCAAACTCGAAAGAGATTAAGGAAGCACTTGAGGACCTTATTGGTCGGCTTAAGTCACATGGCTACGAGCCAAACTTAAGCTCTGTGCCTTATGATCTGAATGAAGAACATAAAAGGCGAATACTTCTCACACATAGTGAGAAGCTGGCTTTGGCATATGGGCTGCTCATCACTGATTCTGCTGGGTCTACCATCAGGATCATGAAAAATCTAAGAATCTGTGAAGATTGCCACTCATTCATGTGCGGTGCATCTCAAATCACTGGCAGGGAGATTATTGTAAGGGATAACAAGAGATTTCACCATTTCCATAATGGTGTATGCTCTTGTGGTAACTTTTGGTAATTAATAGAACTACTTGAGATCTCTCAAGTCCCAGTCTATGTTAGTTTAAAGAATCCTTTTTCTTTGGAAATGGCCATTACTCGGTCACAAGTGCCACACAATTGTGAGGAATTGGACTTCTTGTTCAACTGAAGGATATGATTAATTCATTCAAGGGAAGATCTGAGTTCCAGAATTGTGTATAATATCAGGTGCCAAGTTATATAACATGTAATTATACTGCATATAAATAATTTTCAACATTCAGTGACAGTTCAAAATTGCACGATCACCTGATACAGTTTTTACTAGCCTTCAGGCATTCTTGCAAAGCTTTTAACGACAGTCGATACTCATTCCCTTTTTCATAGTTCAAGTGACTTTGAATGTTATGATTTTACATGTTTCAGATAAGCTGCTTAGTATGTGTTTCTCAAGGCATCTTTGGGTTCTAAACAGGGAGATATCATATAATCTGGCAAGATCTGGCACATTACAGGCATTTTGCTTACTACAACTTGTTGGCCAAAGTTCAGCAGGAAGCTTGTTGCAGCAAAAGACTGAAAAAGGCACAATTCTGAAGTTGGTACCCTGTGTGGGTTCAGAAGAGATAAGAATCCAGTAACTATTGGACTGAAATCTTTATTTCAAAATCAGTTTGTGTGGCAGATGAAATGTTCCATCAACTTTCAGGATTACTCATGTTTAATTCTCCATCCCGTTTGGTTGACCAACGCTGACTGTCGCACAGGCTAAGATCAGATAGATATTGAAATTGGAATATGTGGATGCACGCATGAATCAAATTTGATGCCATGTGGGCTTCAATATGAAGGAAAACTACGTTAACTAGCAGCAGAGTATATGCTATTAGTAGAAACCAGCGAAGGCTAGAGGCATGACACAACGCAGGAAGCAGAGGGGCATTTTGAGATCGTTATAAAACGAGTTCAGGCATCTGTGAATAGGCTAGAATTTATTGCAATTTCGTACTTACGAGGCCGAGCATAGAATTTATTACTTTCACTTTGGTGATTCCAATTCTCGCCCTTGTAATCTTTATACTTCCCAGGAGTAGTTTAATTTTATTTTTTAAGAAAGGCATCGTTATAACAGTACCGAGTATTGGTTCTCACATGTTCCTCACCTAGTTTTAACCCCGCAATTAGTTGCATCACGGATTAATAAATAAAGAGGATGAATACTAATAATCATTCCATTACGGTCTCATGTTATCTATTTGGTCATTGTTAAAAACCATTCATCATCCACATATCCAACCGTCATTGATTTTAAGTCGAATTCCCAGGAAAGAAAGCAGTTGGTGCCATATGAACTTAGATACATTCACAACGCATTATTATTAATTTATGATGAGGTACATGATTCAACATACTTAAAAGACTTGTTACATGTGTGATTATGCTTCCACTAGCACTTAAAAGAGGCTAGCGTGACTTTATTATTCACATAAAAGGCCACGCTTCAAGACACAGCAAGGACAAACAGAAACAACTACTAACACAAGTATTTAACCAAACATTTTACATGTGTATATTTAAAAGGATTTATTCTTTCAGCCACAGCTTTAATTCCTAGTGGTGTCCAGGGCCATGATGGCCTGGAAGCTTGTCCTTAATCTTCTCCATAATTCCCTTCTTCTCATGAGTGCCTTCCATACCATAACCAGTAGTGGTAGTTGTTGCAGTTGAATGTGCTAGGTCGTCTCTGTGACCTCCTGGCAATTTCTCCTTAACCTTGTCCTTTATCCCTTTCTTCTTCCTTCTACCGCCGTGTCCATCATCCTCAGACTTCAAAAGCAAAACACACACGTTAAACATTATTAAGAGTGAGCGACATACAGATTAAGAAGAGGTTAGTCGAAACAAAAGATAATTAACTTACAGAGCTGCTGGAACTAGAGCTGCCAGAACGGTGAAGCATGCCACCGAGAGTACCATGCTGGCGTTGATCCCCACCAAGTACGCCAGTGGTGTGTCCAGCCTGAGTTCCATAGCCGGTACCGGTGGTTCCATATCCTCCCATGGTCCCTCCAGTCTGCTGGATTGGGTTGCCATACTCGTCAGTTTGGCGGACTGGGTTGCCGTATTCGTCCGTCTGCAGAGCCTGCCCTGCACTATATTGGTTCTCATAGTGCGCCATGATTATGTTTTTTTTTTATACACAATTGTATCTAATTCTGTTGAGAGTATTCGATAAAGTGTAAATATTATAAAATTCGAGTGCGAAAACGGGATAGATATAGGGATGGAAAAACAAAATAAAAGATAAGGGTGTGGAAGAAGTGGAGGTGCATGCATGGCACCAGAGCATCACAGGTGTTGCGTGAATTAAACAGTCGGCATGAATGTGGCAACATCACAGACTGACACGTTTTTTCCTCTGTCGGCGTTGAGATAAGATTCGGCATTTGCGGTCAAATTCTGCTACTGGAAGCTAAGAGACTTAATTTCGAAGTTACTCGATCGGAAACTGCGGTATAAAATCATGTCTTATATGTTTACCAGTCTGGAGGATTTAAACAAAAATAAAAGGTAAAAATACCAAAAGGATGAATGGCCTAGTGGTTAGGTGCCCCAGATTCGCCTAATAAGAGATCGCCTGGAAAAAAATCATGTGTTCGCCACTGATTGTGATCAGTGGAGCATCTTATTTGCTATCATTAAGACCTGACTTACCAAATAAATTTCAGCAAAGCTCACCAAATAATACCTATATAAAGCTCATACATGCAAATTTAAATAATTTTGCGCAGAGAATTAATAAAACTTATGGTATCACGTCTAACTTTTAAGAATCCAAATTTTGGAGGAGGCCGTACTGACCAATAAACAGGTTGATGGAAGCTAACTAATAGTCATAGGGAGGCATATGCTTATTTATCAAGTTCATAAGAAGCTTATTAAGAACTGTTAGTTTCAATTTTTACTTACAAATATGAGAAGCTATGGTCCACTAGGTTCTAGTTCTAGGAGAGGTAGAAATGCTCTCTCGAGTGAGAATGTAGCCCATTGGACGAAAATGTTAGGAATGTGAGTCTTGCATTTACAGGGCCTAAATGAGATCAACGATCTTCAAAGGGTTATTAGGCTTGCTGGACTTGGGCTTTAAATACTCTTGAAATTTTGGGTCCCGTGATAATACCAATGGGAAAATTTTCAAAATGTCAATATTTTAGCATTTAATAGGATCCTTTAGCCATATTTTCAATATTTATTAAAAGTGTCAATATTTTAGTTTGTTATATACTGATTTATGTATTTCTTAATTTTTTTAATTTGAAAGAATACAATTATTTAATAACATAAGGAAGAAAATTAAGGGAGAATATTTCAAAAAAAATAATAAAATATCACTTAATTTTCTCATCAGTTACATTTTTAAAGAAAACTCAAATGTGTGCCTTTTTCACAATGTATTTTTGTTTTCCAGAATTTTGTAACCTTTTTAAAATCGTATTCATTCCAATATGTATATTATTTGTACTCATTATAGTTTTCACGTTGTATTTTGTATAATGAAACTTGTTTTTTTTTATTAATTTGTATTCATTCCAGTAGTTATGCCAAATGAATCTATAGTTCTTTGAAAAACGTATTTGTATTCATGTATTTTTTCACTGTGTATTTTTTTTTCCTTCAAAATCTTGTATCCTTTCTTAAGTCGTATTCATTCCAATATGTATTTTATTTGTGTTTGTATTCATTCTAGTTTTTATGTAGTATTTTGTATAATAATATATAAAATACAAAAAACTGTATGATGAAAAAGTGAGAATGAAATATAAAACTGAAAAGGAATAAGTGAATATTTGTTGCAATCATTTTTAAATAAAATACATAACTAGTTGACATACCTTTAGAATGAATACAAATTAGGAACAATACCATATTTATAACCTATGCAACATGATTTTTGAATGAATACAAATATTAATAATTTACATACGATTTTGAATACAAATTGAGAAAGGATACAAAATTCTTTAAAAAATTTATATAAACAAACCAATAGGAAGTTGTTCTTCTTATAAATAAAATACATATCTAGTTGACATACCTTTGTGATAAATTCAATTTAGGAACAAATACAAGATTCATAAACTATGCAACATGAGATTTTGAATGAATACAAATATTAATAGCATATACATATTTGAATATTAATTGAGAAAGGATACAAAATTCTAAAAAAAACTATAAATACAAAACAAACTAATAGGAAATTGTTCTTCCTCAACTTGGTCTTCAACAAATTTTTCGAATTCTTCGGCACTCAATTTTGGAAATCAAAATATACTTGGTGACAATGTATTTACCTTTATTCGTGGGTGAAAAATATTTTGAAGGAATTGTGAGATTTCTTGAACAAATTGGAGGAAAGTAGAAAAGGTAATTTTCACAAGAAAAGGAGAGAACGATGGTGAAAAACTCTAGAGAGAAAGGAAGAATTTGGGGTAAAAACCTAGAAAGAGGGGAAAGTGGGTAATGGGAGTTTTTTTTCTTCTTTTTCACGTATAGGGGAGTAAAATTAGTTGAATGTGGGGATTGATTTGAGAAATAAAAGGAAAGAAAATCAATTATATTAGGATACATTTTATTTGCTAAAATATTGACATATTGACATTTTCAATAATTATTTTAAAGTGTAAATGTTTTTAATAATTATGTTAGAAAGTTTGACTAGTTTACTAATTTTCCCAATACCGAAATGGGGCTGATCCAGAGGTCTTCCAATGTTTTGATCCTTTTTTATTTTGCAGTTTGGCCAAGTCTATCAATGACAAAATTGCCTTCTCCATTCTTCAGTTGATGGGGCCTAATTTGAAATTTCACATAGTGAAGCATGAAACTCCATGGTAATGAATTTTTTTTTTATAATTATAGGACTGAAAAATAACTGTCCCGTACTGTTACCACCAAAATAATTATCTTCCTTAAAGTTGATCTTTTTAAGGATTAGGAGTTAAAAATCCTTCCACCTTTTGACCTTTTGATGCATGAACATATTCTCAATCTGTCTACTTTTAATTTTAATTGTTCGCATTTATTCAAATAAATGTCTAATTTTACTTGCCTGATTTCACAAATTAAGAGATGATTTGTCCTTATTATTATTATCTATAATCATTTTTCAAAACATTCAATTGGTTATATTTATAGAGTAATATAATAGAATTTTCATTCTATTTATTGTTTTTAAACATGTGTGCTAAATTAATACTAAACAAATAAAAATAAAAATTACAGATTAGGGGTTATGGACGGATCCGGCTCCTTTCCATTTCCCTTCTCTCCATTTTTCCCAAGTTCTTGCTTGGATGTGAGACACGTGGCATAAATAAAAATTAATGGTTAAGATTTACTGTAATTGAATTAAAATTAAAATAAGATTCTAATTATGATTTAGATAATTAATATTTCATAAGAAAAATAACAATACCACAATCATAACAATATATTATCTTTTTCATAAATATATTATTAAAAAAAATTCTCTTTTTCTAATTTTTTTCTTACCAGTATTATCTTCTATTTTTGTCCATAAATATATTCTAAAATAATTTCTCTTTTTCTAAAAAAGATTCCCTCCGAGTATTTTTGCTATTAATTATATGTGATAAACTAATTTTAAAGAGAAAGTTCAAAGTTGCTATCTAAGACTTAACTCATTTTTTTTTTTAAAAAAAAACAGAAGATAAATACTCGCAGAAAAAAAAAATTAGAAAAGAGAAAAGTTTTTTATAATATATTTATGGATAAGATATTATAGTGTTATGACTTATGAATTATGATTATGGCATTGCTATTTTTTTTATGAAATATTAATTATCTAAATCATAATTAGAATCTTATTTCAATCCATTAAATCTTAACTATTAATTTTTACTTATACCATGTGTCTCACATCCAAACAAGAACTTGAGCAAAATGAAGAGAAAGGAAATAGAGAGGAGCCGGATCCGTCATGAACCATGTCCAATAATAAGGATTGGTAGCCCAAGGTCTAAATAAACAGAGCCCTCGGGAGGAACAATTTTAGAAATTATTTGCTATAGCAGCAAAATGCTCTACTTCTTTGATTTGTATGTGATGATAAAGAAATCATTTTCTATACCGTATTTTCAACTCTCTTAATTAATTAAAGCATGAAACTTGAACTCAAAAGAAATGTATATGTATAACACAACTTAAACTCAAACTACATTATCATATTATTAAACACGTACAGGACATCACATGCACACATTAACATGATGCATATGGACATCGATCATTGCTTTCCAAGCATATAGAAGCAATATTCTTCTTTAAAAATACAGAAGGGGCAGGGCATGGCCGCCAATACACACATATATATAGCGTGAGCACACTGCCCTTACACGACTTTAAACACACAACGTACGTAATTAGATAACTCACATGACGATTACTACTAATTAGTGCATGAAATAAAATCAAGCACTAATACTTATTCATGATTTATAAGATGGAAATGAAAACAAAGGTGTATTCTCAATGCATCCCAGGGATCTTGTCCTTGATTTTGTCCATCATTCCTTTCTTCTCTTGAGTAGTACCATAACCTGTTGTTTGTCCATGTTGAGCGCCATACTCACCTTCCTGCTTGCCATGTCCTCCTCCTGGCATCTTCTCCATTATCTTCTCCTTCATCCCCTTCTTTCTCCTCCCACCTTCTCCATCATCCTCCGACTGATGATAATTTTAAAAGAATATATCACATGCCATAATTAGAATGTCATGAAATATGTTTAATTTCATATAATATTAAGTTTTACGACTACTTGTAATATGATCACTCGTTTATATTTTAAAATATGTGTTCAATGCAAATACTGGATTAACGAAACTTACCGAGCTAGAGCTGTCGGATCGACGAAGCTGCTGTTGCCCCTCATGGTGATGGGCCATGCCTTGAGTTCCACCAGTACCCATACCCATACCGGTACCGGTACCTTGAGTTCCATATTCTCCACCAGTACCCATGCCCCCCATCATACCACCAGTACCAGCCTGCATGCCTCCCATACCGGTATCTTGATGAGTTCCATAGGCTCCTGCAGTTTCTTGGACATGGTTTTCATATTCATCAGTCTTGCGCATTTGGTCTTGGTTGCCGTATTGTGCCATCTTTGATCAAAATTAAAAAACACTTGTTTGATTTTTTTACTATTGCAGGTATGGTTTTTGTTATGGAATTGAGGTTCAGGGAGTAGGGATTTATATAGGGAAAGTAAAAGTAGTAAAGGCTAATTGGAGGCACAACAGGTGTTAAGCGAGTAATGGAGTTGAGTATTTAGCGGGATCGTGGCAGCAGAAAGTTGGAGACAAGTGTGAGAGTGTCGGCATAAATAAAGAATGGATAAGGAGATATTTAACTAAAACCCAAACATTGAAACTTACGGAACTGGACTGAGTGACATTTAAGAGCATAGACTGGAAGCCAAGTGTAATATATTGACTGGTCATAAAGATTTTATAACTGAAGAAAGTAAAATTAATAAATAATTAGGAGGACACTTCGCAAATTAGGCGCTACATCCAAGGAAGGGAAGATCGGGAAAATTCATTTTTGTACGTACCGACATTTCAACACTCTTTGCAGTCTATAATAGCCGTAAACGTGGCATAGTAAGAGAGGCAACAAAACTATGACTCATAATTCCAGTAATGTATAAGGATAACCTTCATTTTCCTTTGGGCCGCCCATAACGATAAGAATGTACAGTTTTTGGATGATTTGCTGGATAAAATATGCAAACCCGGCACATGAATGTTATCAGATCAGATACTAACAAATATGAGTTCATCTTCCGTACTGTCATTTTGTTTTGTGTGATTTAATTCCTATTTATTTTTTTATTACATTAGTGGAAGGGAAGAGGAGAGTCGGAATTGAATCCATGTATATCATATACAAAGTTTATGATAATGTGACAAAATTTAAACTATCAATATATAAAATTTAATTAACTTATTGTAACAATATATTATTATTTCTCCAAGTCTCAAATATACATATTTTCTAATATATATTGTACTTAAACTCTCATTCCTTCTTTATTTGAGCCATTTTGGGCTTGACAGTATTTCTTATTGGATGACCCAACATTTACTCCAGTATCACGTCGTTACTAATACACTATCTAGGGAAATGGGTCTCCGGCCCAATGGACTTTTAAGAGCCCAATGAATTGGACATTTTCATGACTAGGTAAGGGAATAAGGGCTAAGCACAATAGATGCCATACCATACATTTGACATTTGAGTGGAAAAGGAAAGCAAGACATAATAACCTTTTTTTCGAGGCCTGTTTGGACGTACATGCAGTTCCCGCAAGCCTTAATTAATTCCACCAAATTTTCCACCTTGTCTTGGCAGTTGGCACTAACTAACCTTTGCTTATTTTCACCATAAAAAGATGTCCTATTCAGTGATGGAAACAAGCCACAAATACCATATATGGGTCTGATAGAAGAACTTACTAGAGTAAATTCACCATGAGAAGGACCTCCTCCATGCATATATATAATAAAAGATACAATTACCAGTAATGGGACGAATACCTATATTTATTTGTGAAAGATGATTGCGGTTCAGTTCTTAGAGATTTTGATGAAACATGTTACCATACATCATAATATATGCTCTTAGACGATCCCATACAAATTCATCGTCAATTTTTTTTGCATTTCTCATTCACGTGTGCTATCCTGCTGTGTAGAAAATGTCTAGCGTTGTCATTGTTTATTAGTATAATTTTTTTTTTTGGTTTTGAAGAGGGTTTATTTTTAGTATATCAGTTTAAACAATTTTATCAAGCCCAACATCTAAAACTAATTTTCAAATAACTCAAACGTACTATTTGACATTTATGTCCAGTAAAAGCATGTGGTATATATGGCTGTCCACATGATCTAATACTAGTGTGTTCATGACTTAATACTGGTAAATATCATGGTCTAACCTAACATGCAATCAGATTTTAAAGGAATAAAGTAGTTTACCCTAATTTTTATGCAGATTATGCTCCAAGATATGCTTGTATTGCTAATCACATGCTTATAATTGTAGGGAAAAAAAGAGTGAGACAGCAATACCTAATTAATTAAACCAAATCAAAGTACCAGAATCACTTAAGTACGGACTAACTGGATGTTATGACTTTTGATTTGGGAGGCCATTAGTCTCCATCGACAGGCTGTACACGTTACATGCCACTTCTCTTACAAATTAATTAATTAATTATCTAGTTAATTAAATGAACGGCCCTTAATTGGTCTGAATTTTGAAATCGGTGCTCTTTTACTTTATTCTGGAAAAAGACTAGCTCACGTCACCGACAGATATGGATCTTTAGTTAATTTTGATTAGGAATCACTAATTATACTTTGAGGGGTGTAAGACAATCAGATTAAGAATAAACAAATGGAAAAAAAAAAACTTGACATGTACAATTGCTTAATTATACTCTTGAGAAAATTCTAGTGGACTACCATCTGCATTGTTTCTTTTGTCAGTATTATTATTCCGCAAAAAACGACTATCCTAATTTGTTTAAGTGTTAATTTGTTTGTTTAAAGTTTAAAATAAAATTAAAGAAGGTACTCGTGATTGCTTACATATGCATAACAATCACATGGAAATTGGTGTGAGCAACTAATTAATTTGGGAAGGTAATGAACGGTTAATGATTTGTTGATAAAAGAGTCTACTTGCAAATTAATAATCAAATGCTAGTATTATAATTCACCTAATTATAACAAGTTTCTTTCTCCATGGTGAACTTAATTATGGAAATCCCCTTTTCAATGTAAAGCATTACAGTTAATCCTCCTTTTGTGATTATGGTATGCCAATCAGAAAGAACACACGGCACAAGGAAAGTGTTGCAACAGAAGAAAATCAATACTATCAAGTAACTTTGTTCGTTAAAAATTGTATAAGTTGAATTAAATTACAATATTCCTTCAAAATTTACAAAAATAAACGAAGTTAAAGTTCAACAAAAATCTTGAACCTACTCGAGAACATCGTGCAAATATTTAAGGGTGAATCAGAAAAGCAAATAGTTATGAAAATTTAACTATATTTACTTTTTGAAGGCGTAAAACATGTATTTACAATAACTTAGATATCACTTATTAATCTCTATTGAAGTAGACAAAACCTTCTTCTCCTATTTTTCAGTAGACAAAACCTTCTTGAACGTGTGTTTCCAATAGCCCTTTATTTAAATTAAAAAAAATATTTTAAGTAAAATAAGTATGTTTGAAGTGCTTAGATGTAGGGCTACCCTTTACAAGAACTCAAGAAACTTTTTTTAATTGTACAAATTAGGTCAGATGTATGTCTGTGGTGCTTTCATTACCCATTAAACTCACTTTTTAGTTAAAATCTCTCAATGAAATTAGATTAATGAAGTTTTATACATTGTATAGTCGATTTTGTTAGTAGCTGAAATTTTTAAATCTACAAATGAGGAACAATTTGGTTTCTCTTTTTCATTTCAACCACTTACTACTTTTTAGACCAAATTTAATAAATTCGATATGAAGGAACTAAAGTATGCAAACAGCATGACATCCTTTTAAGTTTTAATAATCTGATCCAGAATTTGCAAATTGTTTGAACACAATGCATTTATCCAATCATAGAGAAAGCGCCAAAACGAGAAAAAATAGAAAATATGATTATGCTATAGTGACGCAGATTTAAGTAATTTTCTAGACAATTATTAGGCATAGTTAGGTTTAGTTTGTTGTATTATCTTAATCATATTCATATATTGTATTTTTCTTCCCCAATAATTCAAGCCTGATATATATTTCCATTTATAGATATTTTATTTTCCAGCACGTCCGGCCTAACCTTTATTAGATTAGATAAATGATAACAAACCTCCACCAGAAAATTCATCTATAACATATATTTTCCATTTATCAAAGTCTAAAGATCGATTGAGCAAAAATTAACAAGTGATTATATTATATGTTAAATAAACTTATGTCACTACTTTGCCATAAAGTGGAACTAAAATTGATCTTAAAGCATTCACTAGAAAATATAATTAAAGGAAAAAAATATTGCTAATATACTCTACAAGCCGAAAAGTTGAAAATAAATAAATAGAAGTTATCGCACACTTATGAGAATTTGTGTTTGGTTCTCATGGTCCTTTCATTATTTCCTCACTAAAAGTAATTAAACAAAAAAATAAAAAGAGAGATTAACTTAAAACAAAGAGCATAGAAGTGTGTTACACACAAGCCAACGATGGAATTATCTTTAATAAAATTAAAGTATAAATTATAGGAACCACATATTATAAATACTGAATAACATTCTATCCCTTCTAGTTTTTTATTTACTAAAAATCCCTTAAAAATGATGTTTGCGGGATACATAGCGTTGTGCACGGGATACATTAGGTTTGATACATTCCATATAGCGGGATACATAGCGTTGTGCACGGGATACATTAAGTTTGATACATTCTACATAGCGGGATACATAGCGTTGTACACGAGATACATAGCGTTTGATACATTCCACATAGCGGGATACATAGTGTTGTGCACGGGATACATGCGGGATACATATGTAAATAAGGGATTTTTGAATTTTTTGAAATAAGTAGGGATAAATGGATATTAAGGTAAGTAAAGGAGTGTAGTTAAGTAATTTGTCCAAAATAAAATAACAAGAGAGACTAGCCACTTCATAATTAATCTCTAACAATAATTAAACTTAATAATTAATCTAGTAATATTGGATGGTTTTCTACTGTTACTTTAAATACATATTTGTTAAACTGTTAGTGAAATTTTACTTTATAGTATCAATGAATTTTGTTTTTTCGATTCTGATTATTATCTTTTTATTTGTGTTTGACTATTGTATTATTTTGTTTCGTTATAATTTTTCTTCATTATATTGTGTACAGCCCTATATTTCGTATTATTTTGTTGTTATTATTACTTTCATTTATGTATTTCTCTTTTCAAACTGCTTTGATATATTTTATCTTATTCAAAGGTCTATCAGAAAAAACTTCTCTATCTTACTGTCTCCAAATTTCATTAGAATTACTGATTATGTTATTGTATTTTGTACTTTACCTTTTTTTTTAAAATAATAATTCTATCTTATAACTTTTTTTTTTC